AGTAAAATCTCTGTGCATGGAGATTATGTGTTGTTACTTAATGTAATGCAGGAATTAATTTATTAGTCAAGTGATTCCTGAACTGCTACCATATTCCAAGCTCCACATTAGGTTCTGAGTATCCAGAGCAGAATAAGACACAGTCTCTGCCCTCAGGATCTCACAGGTGTGGAGAAGAAGCACAGGGAAATCATAAATAACACAGGGAAATCAAAATGCAGTGGGAAGTAGGCAAAGATTTTTTTGTACAGGGCACAGAAAGCTGTGACTATAAGGGAGGAAATTGATAAATGGAACTTAAAATCAAGAACTGCCTTTCATCAAAAGACAGCATCATGAGTGAAAAGGCAAACCATGGACAGGAGAAAACATTTATAACACATATATCTAACAAAGGTCTCATATTTGGAATTCTAAAAAACTCCTATAAACCAGTAAGCAAAAGACAAAGTCACTAAAAGCTGGGCAAATGACTTGACCAGGCAATTCTCAAAAAATGATCTCCAAATGGCTGATAAGTGTATGAAGAGGTGCTTACTCATATTGAAAATGCAAATTAAAACCACAATGAGATACTACTAAACATCCGCTGGAATGCCTATAATTAAAAACATTGGTGAGAAGGTGAAGCAACTGGACTTCTCATACACTGCTGGTGGGAGTGTAAATGAGTGGGACTACTTTGGGTAAGTATTTGGCAATATCACTGTCAAAATTAAATATTCATATTCACCCATCCTATGACTCAGCAATTCCTCCCCTAGATATATACCCTAGAAAAATTAGTGCATAGTTAGGTCCTCCAAAAACATATGTAAGAATATTCATGGCAGCATTATTTATAATAGACAAAAATGGAAAGTAGTCTAAAATGTCCATCAACAGAAGAATAAATTGTAACATGGGCAATATCAGCAATAAAAAAATGACTTACATGATGAATGATTCTCTCAGATATAATACTGAGCCAGACACAGAAAAGTACCCATTATATGATTATGTTTATATGAAAATCAAGAATAGCCAAATGCTAATCGATGATAAAAGCCAAATGGAAATCAACACTGGGGATAGAGGTAATGATGGGAGACAAAGACAACAGAATCTTCTGGGGATTTTGGATGGTTCAAACCTCTATCTTGATTTGTATGGTGGCTGCCCTGGGTGCACATGTCAAAATATTTGTCAAGTTTTATAATTAAGATGTACGCATTTTACTATATGTATGCATGTAACACCCCCCCCCTTTTTTTTTTAACAGCGCAATGGGAGCACAGAGAAAGGAGTGCCTGACTCTGAGTGGAGAAACCAGGGAAGATTTCTCCAGGGATATTTGAGCTGGACCTTGAATAGGAACCTGTCAACATGGGATTGCAGATCAGAGAAAGACAAACACCATATGACTTCACTCACATGTGGAGTCTAAAAAAACAAAATAAACAAAACAGAAGCGGACTCCTAGATACAGAGAGCAAACTGATGGTTGCCAGATGGAAGTGGGGTTGGGAGACTGGGTGAAAAAGGTGAAGGGGTAAAGTACAAATTAGCAGTTACATAGGGATATAAACTACAGCACAGGGAATATAGTTAACAATACTGTAACCACTATGTATTGTGGGTACTAGACTTTTCAGGGGAATCACATCATAAGTTATATAAATGCTTAATTACTATGTTGTATACCTAAAAAAAAATTATAAAAATGTCTATCCCTTGATTTGTAATCCCATTCTTGGGAATTTGTCCCAAAGAAATAAACATAGGATAAAAACTATATGCATTTCCTCTAACAGAAAAACAAAACCCAGCAGCAACTTAAATGTCCAATAAAAAGGATAAATAGTCCTGGTCATGTTGTTCAGTTGGTTAGAATGCCGTCCCATACACCAAAATTTTGCAGGTTCAATCCCTGCTCTGGGGGGTCAGGTCATGTACAGAGGGCAACCGATTGATTTTTCTCTCTCACATGATGTTTCTCCCTTCCTCTTTCTCTAAAATGAATAAACATATCCTCAGGTGAGGATTTAAAAAAAGATAAATAAATTATTGCCTGAGCAATATTATATAGATATTACAAGGATTACTACAAAAGCTGAAGAATCATAGGAAAGTGTTTATGATTTCATAATTAGTGAAAAGGGTAATACATATTATAATTATGTAGAATAGGCTATGTATATGAAGAAAGTCTAAGAAGAAACACGAATATGAAAATAGTTGTATAAAAATATTATGGTGAAGGTTTTCTTATTTCTTATAGATTGCCCTCATAATAGTTATGTTTTAAATGCTAAAAGAAAGGGGAGGGTCATAGATCACCCATGAAGAGAGCACCACAAAATGCTCAGCAGCCTAGTGTGACTGCTACAAGATGATGGTGGCCTGGGGCTTGAATAAAAATATTAGAAGGCACCACATAAATATAAAGGAACCATGTAACACATCCAGTTAGCTAAGAGCAAAGAAAGGAGGATGATAAGGGAGAAAATGGTGGCAGCTCTGCTCAGGGCTGTTTTTCCAAAGAGCCCAAGTTGTGCAATGAGTGAAACAGACATGGGCAGCTGATGTGTGAAACAGTGTTGCTTGGGAAGGAAGGGAAGATAAGGTACTTCTCACGGGTGCATCCTCTGACTCACGAAGACATTTTGGCTCACGAGGCCGTGCCTCCTGGTTCCTTTCTTAGGGTCACATGAAAATGAGCCGAGGGTGGGTCATCAAAACAGCTCTCCAGGAAGAGGAAAGATCCTTCAATGGCAGCCTGTGGGCAGCGGTGTGGGGCACACACACACCCCCGCACCCACACTCGCCTGGGTAACCTCTACATATATACAGAGGCTCCCTGGCCCTCCTTCAGTGTCCTGAATGAGGATCCTCTGGGTCGGGTCCTGCAGGAGTCCCAGTGGGAGCTTGCGGGAGTGCAGGCCACGCTGAAGACAGAGCCCGTTCTCCAGCTTCTTTCTCTCCCATCCCGATTCTTGTCACCGGATGCAGGTAAGCAGAGATGAGAGGGCCCAGTGAGGCAATGGCCAGGGAACAGTATGGTCCAGCAATTCCGAGCACAAACTGCCACTCAAATGAGCTCTGGCTGTGCCACTGAGCAGTTGTGTGACGCCAGACAATTCATTTAACTTCTCTTTGCCTCGATCTCTCTGTCAACCTCAGGCTTTTACCCATGCTTCCAATACTTTTCCCTTTCCAACTTTACCTGTCTAATGCCTTGTTGTCAGTCAAGTTGTAGCTTGGACAGCATTTCCTCCAGGAGTTTCTTCCCCATGTCTGCAGAACAGGACTAGCTGTTTCTCCCTGTGCCTCCGCTACACACTGTACGTTGGACGCCTCTGCTCGGCATTTGCCTACTGCCTTGCCATTGTTCCTGCAAGGCTTTAGGTTCCTCAAGAGAAGTGCTTGGCAGAAAGTGGTTACTTAAATATTTAACTGTTCATGAAGGCATGAAAGAAAAGCCTGACTAGGTGATGAATGCGTTAGAGAGACACACAGAGAATTATCAGTCCCTTCTTTCATATGACTTAGTTAATCACTTATATTGTTGTCCATGATTTGTTCACCCAGCTGGGATCTTAGGTTGGAGCACAGTTTCTCCTAAAGCCTGGTTTTAAGGTTTGACCTTATGGTCCTGCTTGTCTTCTCAGATAGCAAATTAGCCAATCTCTTTGCTAATTTCCTGGCTCACATTTTTGGAAGCGTTTCTCAGAATCTTGTTATTCTAGGGAAGCAAAGTCAGGGAGAGGAAGTAAAATTCAAACTAAGCCCCGGTCCTCCCAAATGGAGTGGCACAAGCAAGTGCTTTTGGTGTTAGATCGGACAGGATTCTCTGAATTCCATTCTTCCAAAGGCCAGCCTCAACTTCTTAGTTTTCCTTCTGCATCTCCATATTTTTTAGTTCACCTTCTAAAACTTTCCTTATAGGAAAATTCTCCATAGAAGAGATTGTCAGAGGTGGTTATTTCGGTGGCCTGTGTCTAGACAGGCCTTATAGGTGGAATGATCTGAAGGCATTCTTGAACAAAATCTTCTCCCAGCCTGTGATCTAGAGAGTATGCTTGAAAGTCCAACCACACACCAATCCCCACTTGGACCCCTGATGAAATTTCAGTCATCTGGATGGGGTGTGAGTTAAAGTTATTGCTCATTAACACCCACCGCTTGGTTAATTCACTTCAACACAGAGACACACACTGAGAACCCTGCATTCAGTGACAAGACAGTCTGGAGAGGGAGGCTGTCCTGATACACACTTGCATCCCAAAATGGCGGGGGCGGGGGCTGTTATCCTATAGGTGCCCTGCTTCCTGACAGCAAAGCAGGCTCCTCCCCCTGAGGACCTGAGGAGGAAGCAGCTGGTTCTAGGGGGCTGAAGCAGGAAAAGAGGCCTCCTGTGATGGGCCAGCTTGGGGAGAGGACAGAAGACAGGACACACTGTCCCTCCTGATCCCTGATCTTCACCCTTCCCACAGGCCCCTTGTATCTCTGGGGTAAGGGCCACTGTCCCTTCATACCCTACCCCAAACACCCCCACACTCTCCACTGAAATCTGAACTTTCTTTTAGCAGCGACAAATTATTTAATTCACTGTAAGAAACAAGGCATAGAGAGTGAACATCCTGTGGAGAGGGCACATGGTGAAGGCAACTCATCACACTAAAATGTAAATATCATTGAGGCAGGAAGTTCTCTGTTGGGAAGAGCTCAGAAGGTGAGCCTGGGCTCTGGAGATTAGAGGAAGCAAAAGTCACAAAGGACTGGGCATGGGGCGGGGTGTGGGGGTGGTGAGCGGGACACAGCACTGGGGAATGAGGGAGAAGGACAGGAGCATCCCCCAACCAAATGTCCTACTCAATGCTATGTTTGGGATCAGTCTCTCTACCATAAATGTCGATCTGGACAAATAGAAGATGCTGGTCTCCTTTCCAGCTAGAACCGTCTTCCAGTTATTCACCAAAATGACTAACATATAGGGAAAGAGGAGAGGCACCCGCTATATGAGGTCTGATGGGAAAAAGTCCAGCCATTGTTAATATAACAAGGATGCTTTGCACAACATTGATGTGACCTGGCAGCCAAGGAGAGTGGACTGGAATGCACGTGTGTGAACAATGACAACTTCATTATACTAGTCAGTAGGGGTGGTACATGCCGCTGTTGAGTGAGCATATGTACTGTGTGGCCATCGCATTCAAAATGACTGAGTGGAGCAACGAACCTGCATCAAATTTTGCATTAAGCTTAAGCATTCCTCCGCACAAACTATTTGGGTGATTCAGAAGGCCTCAGCTATGGGCAACTGGTGATTGGCAGCTTCATCACAACAACGCGCCTGCTCATGCATCACATCTCCTGCAGAGTTTTTTTGCAAAACATCAGATCCCCCAGGTGGCTCAGCCCCACTATAGTCCAGATTCGGTGCCCTGCGACTTCTGGCTTTTCCTAAAATTCAGATCACCTTTGAAAGGGAAGAGATTTCAGACCATCGATGAGATTCAGGAAAATATGAGGGGACAATTGATGGTGATTGCGAGAACTGTGTGAGGTCCCAAGGTGCCTACTTTTGAAGGGGACCGAGGTGTCATTGTCCTATGTACAATGCTTCTTGTATATCCTATCTTCTTCAGTAAATGTCTCTATTTTTCATAGCATATCTCTGGAAACCTTCCGGACAGGGCTCGTATGTTCTCTTGGCCTTTTAGAAAACAGGGTATTGTTCCTTTTGCCACATCCTTGCAAATCTACAAGAAAAGTGATACTGCAGACATCAAGGCCACTGTTCAAAAAGGAATGCCCCACAAATGTTACTGTGGCAAAACCGGAAGAGTCTACAATGTCACCCAGCATGTGATGGGCAGTATTATGAAGGAACAAGTTAAGGGCAAGATTCTTGCCAAGAGAATTAATGTACATACTGGGCACACTGGGCACTCTAAGAGCCAAGATTGCTTCCTGAAACATGTAAAGGAAAATAATCAGAAAAAGAAAAAAGCCCAAGAGAAAGATACCTGGGTTCCACTGAAGCGCCAGCCTGCTCCCCCCAGAGAAGCGCACTGTGCGGGAACCAGCGGAAAGGAGCCCGGGCCGCTGGAGCCCACTCCCTAGGAGCTCATGGCAGGAGAAGCGTGAAAAAAGGTAAAAGACCTGTGTACTGATTTTTTTAAAAAATAGAAAGTGCTAGGCTAATCTTTTTGTAAAAAATGAGTTCATAACTTGTAAAACTTTTTAAAAGGTATGATAAAATAATAATTTACGATAGTAATTTCTAGGAAGGAGTCCAGGAAGACGGTAGGGCACACTTAGGGCTTCATAATATTAGTGGTAATGACCTGTTTGTAAACTGGTTGCATTTAAATGGGTGTTGTTCAATTATTCCCTACTATATACAAGTACAAATATATTATACACATTATGTTTAATTCTTTAAACATCGAAATATTTTATTACATATTATGTGTATGTGTGTGTGTGTGTGTGAGAGAGAGAGAGAGAGAGAGAGAGAGAAAGAGAGAGACCGATCCATACATTTTTTAAAAAAATTATGTCCAAAGCAATGTGTTAGAGGGGAGTGTCAAGAGCCTGAAGGTGAGACAGACGTGTAACTGAACTGTAAAGTGGCAACAGGCCACTTCTTGAGGATGTCATGGTACTGACTTTTTTCAGATCCACATTAATGTGAGTGTAACCTACTATTATTATTAGTCCTATGATATTTCATATTAAAAAAACAAGAAGTTCGTTCACATATCAGTGAAAATATAAAAGATTATAATGTCTATAAGTAAATGTGTATAGACATGACATTTTAATTTTTAATCTATTTCACTGATATATAATTAAAATACAATAAAATTCACCCATTTTCAGAGTTGTTTAATGAGTTTTGTCAATACATACAGTTGCATATGTAAATTTAGAACATTTCAATCACCTCAAAAATTTTCCTTATGTCCCTTATATTAATTCCCTCTTTTATTCCCTGCCCCTGGCAACCACAGATCTGCTTTCTGTCACTAGTTTTACTTTTTTCTAGAATTTCATATAAACAGAATCATATAGTGAGCAGTCTGTTTCTGGCTCCTTTCACTTAGCATAATACTCTGGAGATTTAGCCATGCTGTTGCATGTATCAGTTTTTTGTTATTTATTGCCTAGCATTAGTACTCAATTGCATGGATATACCACAATTTATCAATTCACACTGATGAACATTTGAGTTATTTCTCTCTCTCTTTTTTTTTTGTATTTCTCATTTTAATTGATTTTTTTTTATTCTGGTAAAATATATGTAACAAAGTTTATTATTCCCCCCAGTCCCTGGTAATCTCTAATCTACTTTCTATTTCTATGGGTTTGTCTATCTGGATATTTTATATACATATGTGGAATCATACATCTTTGTCCTTTGGTGCCTGGCTTGTTTCATTTCGCATAATTTTTTAAGTTTCATCCATGTTGTAGCATATCACAGAAACTCATTCCTTTTTTTGGTTGAATAATATAGTATACAGATGTGAGATCTATATGTCTACACACACACATATACATATCACATTTGTTTATCCATTCATCTGTTGGTGGGCATCTAAGGGGTTTTCATATTTCTAATTTTTAGTTATTATGAATAAATCTGCTATGGACATTCATGTATTAATCTCTCTGTGGATGGGTGTTTTCATTTCTTTTGGATAAATATGTAGAAGTGGAATTACTTGATCATTTGCTAAGTGAATGTTTAACTTTATAAGAAACTGCCAAGTTCATTTTCCAAGTGGTTGTACCATTTGCATTCTCACCAGCTCTCTCTGCGAGTTCCAGTTGCTCTACGCCCTCATCGACACTTGATATAGTTCAACTTGTTGAGTCAACCAGGTGAATGATGTTGGGTGTCCTTTCATGTTCTTAGTTGCCATTCATATATATTTTTTGTGAGATGAAGTATCTGTTCAAATCTTTTCTCCATTTTTAAACCATTGCTTGTCTTCTTATTATGGAGTTTTAAGAGTTTGTTATGTGTTCTAGATGTATGACCTTTGTCAGATTTGTATGTATTCATATTCAAAAAATATATTTGGTGAGCATTTTCTTCTAGCATGTGGTTAGTTTCTTCATTTCCTTAATTTTATCTTTGGAAGAGAAACATTTTTTGAAAAGTCAAATTTATCATTTTTAGAGATTGTACTTTTTGTGTTTTATCTAATAAATCTTTATCTAAACTGAAAACCCCAGTAATTTTCTCTTTTGCTTTCTTCTAGAAATTTTTATTAAGTTTAGATCTATGGTCCATTTCAATTTAATTATTGAATATGGTTGGCAGTAATAGCCAAGGTATATATATTTTTTGTTTTGCATATGGATTGTTTCAGCACCGTTTGTTGAAGAGACTATCATTTTCCCACTGAAATACCGTCTTTTAAAAAATAATTCGATCATATGTGTGTAGATATATTTTTTAACTCCTTAGTCTGTTCCAGTGGTCTGTATATCTTTATATACATTACTTCACTGTTGTGATTACTATAGCTTTATAATGTCTTAAAATTACATAGTGGAAGTCCTCCAACTTTGTTTTTCTTTTTTGAAATTGTTTTGGCTAAGCTAGGTCCTTTGCATTTTTATATAAATTTAGATTCAGCTTGTCAATTTCTAAAAAAAAAATAAATAAATAAAAAATAAAATAAAATAAAACCCTGCTAGGATTTTGACTGAGAGTGTATCGAATCTATGCATCAGTTTGGAGAGAATTGACATGTTAATGATAGTTATTCTTTTGATTCATGAAAATGGTATGTATGCCCACTTATTTAGGTCCTCTTTAATTTTTCTTAGCAATGTTCTACAATTTTTAGTATACAAGTCTTGCACGTATTAAGGTAAAGTTATCTATGAGTATTTTCTAATTTTATGCTATTGTAAATGGGATTTTTAAAATTTTGACAATTTATCACTGCTTGCATATAGAAATACAATAGAATTTTTGTATATTAATGTTTTATTATGTGACCTTTCTAAACTCACCTATCAGTCCTAGTAACTTTTTGATAGATTCCTTAGATTTTCTCCATAGATAATCATGGTACTTGTGAATAATGACAGTTCTTCTTCCTTTCTTATCTGCATGGCTTTGATTCTTTTCACTTTCTTATTGTAATGGAAAGGACCTCCTGTACAATGTTGAATGAAAGTGGTGACAGTGGCATCCTTAAAATGACATCTTTTAAAGAGAGGATGACACCTTTAAAATTTTATTTTTCTGTACTAAATAGAAATAATCACTGGCTGTAATAGAGGCACAAGCAAAATATGATGAGATGAGGAATGTGTGTGAGTGGAAGTTGGCAAAAAATGGAGCAATTAAATTCTATCCATTGGGGAATATTTATAAGAGGCAGAGCTTTAAGGAAATTCTTTGGCTCTTCTCGATCTGACCCTGGGAGGTGACGGTATCTGTAGTCCGCTTTTCCCACTCCATGCTCCCAGTAGCAGAGCTATCATGATCTTCCTTTCATCGTTTCAGGACACTGTCCCTTCCCTGCATGATGGCCTGCCCAAGGACCTGCTCCCGCATCCTGGGGCTGAGCCTCGGGACTACAGCCCTACTTGCTGCTGGGGCCAACACGGTGCTCTTCTTTCCTAACTGGGATGTGACCTACCTGTTGAGGGGCCTCATTGGCAAGCATGCCATGCTGGGCTCTGGGCTCTGGGGAGGAGGCCTCATGGTAAGTGTCCTGGGTTCCCTTGGTGTGAACTCCCAAAGTGCCCACCAGGGGTGGGTCAGGGAGATGATGGGGGAGGAGTGTTTTGATTCCTTGCAAAAAAGTTTGACCTAACGAGCTGGTCTTGAGTCTGCAGCAACTCCAAGGAATGGAAGACTCTAGGAAAACCTGTCAAAGGTTGCTGAATTTTGGACTAGGCGTACTGGGTGTGAACATTGATATCAACAGAGTCAGATCAGGCTAGTCATCCAAAACGGGGTCCTGACATTCAAAGCCAAACCTGGGAAAGACAGGATAATCAAATCCATGTGAGGTACCCAACTACTCTATTTCAACAGCTCACAGGTGGCAGCTAGAAATGCACCGTACCCAGTCCCTTCTTAATACTCTCCTCTCCTCTCCCAGGTACTCATTGCAGCTATCCTCATTTCCCTGATGGGCTGGAGATGTGGTTGCTTCAGCAAGAGCAGGCCCTGCCGGAGTGTAAGCACCGGATTCCACTCTTCTAATAGCTAGAATGTCCCCGTGTTCTATTACTTCAGAGGCAGAGTGGTAAAAAGGCAATTTTGACCTTAGGGTTTGAAGTCAGGTCAGGATCATTCCCCCAGTCACCCTAAGCTCTTGGGCAAGTTGCATAGCTTTCCTGAGCCTCAGGTCCTCATCTGTAAAATGGGTGTTAACAAGATCAAGTCAATGATCCTGTTATTTAACGAACCATAAATGTCTATACCAATGTGAAAGCTGTTTTTATTATTTTTTAGCTTATTGAAAAATATGGGCATGAGTTATGTACATTGTTAATCATGTGTTTTTTATAGAAAATGTCCTGGCTATTTTGCTTAATTTTACTGAGAGCTGGAAGGTTCTCCAGAGATCATCGGATGACTAGATACTAATCTAACCTGTCTAGTTTACAGATAATGAAACTGAGGCCCAGAACAAATCTGCACTTTATTAATTACAGCATCACCTATATATATGTGAAAACTCTCAGCATTCTTACACGCTAAATTGCTTATTCAGTCTCAGACACATGAATCTGTGGCCACCTTACAGTAACTCCACAGCCTGCTTTGACATCTGCTGCCCATATATTGGGAACTCCACTAATTCAGAATTATACGTTAAATAATTAAATATAAATACCCTCACATTTCATTCACTATCTGTTCTCATCCATGTCTGTTTTTCTGCTGGGCAGGCGGTTCTCAGACTTGAGCGTGGATCAGAACCCCTGCAGGGTTTGTTAAAACACAGATTGCTGGGCCCCGCCGCTAGAGTTTCTGATTCAATAGGTCTGGGGTAGAGTGCAAAAAGTTGTGTTGTTACCAGGTTTCCAGGTGATGTGCTGCCGCTGGGACAGGGACCACATTTTGAGAAACACTGTCCTAGGCTTACATCAGACTAATTCATCTTGAATCTTTTAACTTGGAGTCAAAACTTACTACACACCTTTCTCTGGGCCCTCCCAAGCTCCAAACCAGCTTGATATCATGAGGGAATGACTATAATTCTGTACACTTCTATTTATATGTTTTATTTAAACTTTAAAAATATGTGTTCTTTAGAAGGGAGAAAAAAAGTCCAGTATTCTGGGAAAGAACCCAATTTGGAGGCGAGCTAGAATCCTGCCAAGGAAAATAAACATCATTGTTATCTTTTGGGAGGGAAGAATGGTGCACGGACTAGAAAAGTACAGGGACAGAACTGGTGTTATTTCAGAGTTGACTAATTTTTCTGTCTCTCTTTCTCTTCTTCTCTGTCTCTGTCTCCCTCCTTCTTTCCTCTCCTCCTTCCCTTCTTCCTCCCTTCCTTACTTTAATGCTTGATTTGAAAAAGACAGGAATCAGGGATGGAAGCTTGGGACTTTTGAAAATATAGCTTTTCCTTAATAGTCAGAAGTGGGCATGTGATAATCTGATCCTTTAATTTAGGGGCTAAATGACTGCAGTCTGAGGTTAAAAGTTTTTGACGTGAACCTGCTGAGAAGCTCTGAAGAGCCTGCTGATTCAGGGAGATCCAGGTTCAAGTGCCAGCGTTCCCCGCTTCTCAGTTCTTTCTCTTTCATCCCTTCCTAGCCCCACCCAGTGACCCCTCATTAGCCACCCTACCTTGTTAAGCTTTACAGGAGGTGTCACGGGTAGGGGTAGCCCCGTTTGATATTATCGGAGAAAACCTGAGCACCAGAGAAGTTTCCAGGTGGCCCCACAAGTCACCTAGTCATGACCCCACCTCAGGCTCACTGTTTCTCCTCTCCCTCTGCAGATGCTCACTGCTCTGTTGTCAAGTGGCCTGGCTTTGCTTGGAGCCTTGATTTGCTTTATCACTTCCGGAATGGCTCTGAAAGATGGTCCATTTTGCATGTTTGATGTCTCATCCTTTAATCAGACACAAGCTTGGAAATACGGTTACCCATTCAAAGATCAACATAACAGGTAAATGGGTGGAGATTTGAATGGGTTTGCAGCCTTCTGAGAGAGAGCGTAGGGAGGGAGAGAGGTAGAGAAGGGGGGGAAGAGAGAGACAACAAACTCCTTTTGGTGATGCATTCTAGTATCTCACTCCTCTGATGCTCAAAAATGCAAAAATAGATGTTCCTCCACCCATGTCCTGCCACTGGGCTCCTCTGGCCGCACATCCTGCTAGTTGTGCCACCCACCTCCCACCACCACCACGGCCAAGCTCCCGACTGACCAGGAGAAGTGGTGGCAGTTCAGCATCCCTGGTGTCGCGGGTGTGGAAAACGTGGCTGAGCTGAAGAAGGGTTTCAGCTGGCACCTGCACTTTGCGCTGGTCAAGGCCCATAAAGGGGCCACTACCTGTGACTACTTTTTCACGCTGGCACACATCGTGCACCCCCACCCAGTGGGGAGCTGGATCCGCGTGGAATAGTACTACTAGAAGAAGTGCCTCAAGAGGGTTTATTACCTTTTCTTTGGAATTTTACATGGGCCAAACATTACAGAACACCATGATCAATTTTGACCTGCAAAATGCCTGTGATGAGGCCATTTACAAGCTTGGATTGGATATAGAGGAGTTAGAAGAAATGGAAGAAGATGCTGGGCTTGCCAGTGGTGGTCTTGGGAGGCTTGAGGCCTGCTTCTTGGATTCCATGGCAACCCTAGGACTTGCAGCCTACGGATATGGCATTCCATATGAATATAGAATCTTCAATCAGAAGATCCGAGATGTATGACAATTGAAAGGGGGGTCATAGAATCATACAGAGACCTCTGGTCAAGATGGCAGCATAGGTAAATACAGCTCACCTCCTCGAACAACCATATCAAAATAACAACTAAAATATAGAACAACCATCACTCAGAACTGTCAGAAATCGAGTTGAATGGAAGTCTGACAACTACAAAATTAAAGAAGCCACATCCATCTAGACTGGTAGGAGGGGTGGAGACACAGAATGGGCTTGGACTGGTCCCACATCCACATGTGATGGATAAAAATTCTGGAGGGATATCTCAGAAGTGAGGAGCCCCAGCCCCATACAAGATCCCCTAGCCCAAGGTTCCAGTGCTGGGAAGATAAGCCCCCATAACTTATGGCTGCAAAAACCAGAGAGGACTGAGTAGGTGGAAGAAACTTCTGGAGTCCCAAGCAGTTCCCTTTAAAGAACACACACACAGGCTTACTCAGACTCACTTCCTCTGAGCTCCAGCCCTGGGGTAGCAGCTTGAAAGGCACCAATGACATACATGGAGGAACTGAAGTGTCTGGCATCAAGGTAGGAGCTGGGGGATAGCTTTCTCCCAGACAGAAGGGTGGGCAGAGGCCATTGTTTCTTTTCTGAACCCTCTCTGCACAGAGCCACAGAGCCACAGAGCCAGCAGGCAAGAGACATATCTGAGACTCCATCAACCTGGCTAACAAGGTTTGCCCCACCCCAGAGATCCCCTGAGCCTCTGTCCCACCCAACTTACCAGCCTACCTGAACTGTTAACAGTGGTTTTTCCATATGAATGGCTGGTCTTGGCTCATCCTTCACATCTTCCTAAGTACTATCAAACAAACAACAGCTGGCCTCGGTTAGTCCCTAGCACCCATACCTCTAGCTAAGTGGCCCCAGACCTGGCACTAGTAGCAGCCATCTTAGATTCACAGCTTGGCTTTGCCTGGGAGTCTCCAAACTCAGCATAAGTAGCAGCCATCTCAGATTGCTTTATAGTTCATACAAGGTGGCCCTGGGCTGAACACAGATGGGGACTGACCTTGGCCTGTACCACCCAGGAAACCTCAGAGCCTGTGCACCCAGTGGAAAGCTACAGACCATGCTGGAGCACCACCACCCTGCCCCTGCACAGCTGATCTTCCATGGAGGGTGGAAGTTAGTGGTCTGTGGTCACAGCCAGTCCTTGCAGCTGACTGGCCTGGGTAAATCCCTTCCATTGACCTGCCAACAGCAACCAAGGCTCAACTACAAGAGGAGGGTGTACTCAGCTCACATGGAGGGTGCACCTTGAGTACCCAGCTTGGGTTATAGGGCAAGGCTGTGCCACTGGACCCTACAGGACACACCTACTATATTAGGCCATGCAACCAAGATAGGGAGTCATAGCAGCTCTACCCAATACATAGAAACAAACACAGGGAGCCTGCCAAAATGAAGACACAAAGAAACATGGCCAAAATGAAAGAACAGATCAAAACTCCATAAAAAGAACTAAACAAAATGGGGATAAGCAATCTATCAGATGCAGAGTTCAAAGCACTGGTTATAAGGATGCCCAAGGAACTTAGTGAGGACCTCAACAGCAAAGAACAGATCCAATCAGAAACAAAGGATATAAAGAACAGTTTATTGGGAAACAATGATAGAGTGGATGAAGCCAAGTATCAAATCAATGATTTGGAATGTAAGGAAGCAGAAAACAACCAATCAGAAGAACAGGAAGAAAAAAGAATTCTCCCCACACCCCCCTCCCCAAAAAAGAACAACAACCCAACAAAAAACTGAGGATAGTGTAATCAGTCTCTGGGGCAATTTCAAGTATTTCAACATTTGCATCATAAGGGTGCCAGAAGGAGAAGAGAAAGAGCAAGAAATTGGAAATCTATTTGAAAAAATAATGAAAGAAAACTTCTCTAATTTGGTGAAGGAAATAGACATGTAAGTCCAGGAAGCACAGACGATCCCAAACAAGATGGATGTAAGGAGGCCCACTCCAAGACACATCATAATTAAAAGGCCAAAGAGTAAAGATAAAGAGAGAATGTTAAAAACAGCAAGAGAAAAACAGTCCGTTACCTACAGGGGAGTTCCCATAAGACTGTCAGCTGATTTCTCAAAAGAAACTTTGCCGGCTAGAAGGCACTGGCAAGAAATATTCAAAGTCATGAAAAGCAGGGACCTACAGCCAAGATTGCTCTACCCAGCAAAGATATCATTTAGAATCAAAAGGCAGATAAAGAGCTATCCAGACAAGAATAAACAAAAGGAGTTCATCATCACCAAACCGTTACTATATGAAATGTTAAAGGGACTTATTTACAAAAAACATCAAAACTATGAACAATAAAATGGTAAAAAATAGAAATCTATCCACTGTGCACCCAGTTGAATCTAGAGAACAAGCTAAGCAAACGAGAAGAACAGAGACAGAATCATGGATATGGAGAGCATTCTGATGGTTGCCAGATTGGTGGGCAGTGTGAAGGAATAAGTGAAGAGGTGAGGGAGTTAAGAAGTACAAATAGATAGTTACAGAATAGCCATGGGGCTGTATAGCCCAGTATAGGAAATTTAGTGGCCAAAGAACTTATACACATGATCCATGGGCAAGGACAATGGTGTGGGGATTGCCTGGGAATGGTGCTGGGCAGAGGAAGGCAAGGCGGCGGGGAACTGGGACAACTGTATTGGCATAGTCAATAAAATATAATTTTAAAAATGCAACAGTAGTCACCCTTATGAGTCTAGGACTGTAACTTGAACTCGGGTGGTGGAGGCCCGAACTGTCTATTGAGGTTACTTATTTGGCTTTTCTTACTTATTCCTCAACCCTTGTCTCTTTAATTTTTGGGACAGGAATTATTTATATGACTATTCACTCTGGAACTCTGTCTGCCTGGAGCCTTTTAAAGCTGTCATTTGGCACGTCTCCTTCTTCTCCGCCCTTTTGTGCATCAGCCTCCTCCAGATTCTCCTGGTGGTCATTCATTTCTTCAACACCTTCCTGGGCCTTTTCTGCAGCCTCTGTGAGAAGTCATAGCTAATGCTCTTTCATGGATGGGAGTTTTTATCAGAAGCTGCTTTGAATCCTTTCTGCTACTAGGATTTATGGGTATGAATCATAAACAAACTTCCCTTTTAGGTATTCCTGTAGTAATAATAACAATTCCTTACATGTATGTTGTAATGCATTTTAAATCACATTGTAAACTGCAAGATGATACATTAGTAGGAGGAATAATTGTCATTTTTATTGTGTGAGAACTCACAGTCCATAAAATGTCCTCCAGTCATGATCTCATTTCAGCCTTTAAAGAATCCCGTAAAATTTGCCACATGTCCAGGTAAAGTTAGAGCTCCTAGAGGATGGTGGACTTGCTGCCAAAAGCACTCAACTAGGTTCAGGTAAAGTCAGTACCTGAGCTCCTATCTTCCAAATTCAAGTTCACCAGTTGTCATGGACTAAACTGTGGGCCCCCCCAAATCACAGGTGGAAGCCCTAACCGCCAATGTGATTTTATTTGGAGATAGGACCTTTGAGGAGATAATTAAGATCAAATAAGGTCATGAGGGAAAGACCCTAGTCCAGTAGGGCTGACATCCCTATAAGAAGAGGATGAAATAACAGATCTCTCTCTCTACAAGCACAGAGGAAAAGCACACAAGAGGAGATAGCAGTTGCCATCTGCACGCCAAGGAGAAAGGCCTCAGTAGACACTAACCTTGTTGGCACCTTGCTCTTGAACCTTCAGCCTCCAGAAAATAAATTTTTGTGGTTTAAGCCACCCAGTCTGTGGTATTTTTGTTACAGAACCCTGAGCTGATTAACCCACGAGTGTTCTTTTTATTAGTGTTCAGTGCAGTTCATTAAGTGATATACACTGAGTATCCACTGTGTGCCTGGTATTCACTGTTCTGTGTGCTGATGATCCAACGATGACTAAGACACTGCCCTTGACCTTGGACCTTTCCCTGTCCTTGAAGAGCTCATGGTCAGGCTAGGGAAACAAACACACATACCATTAATTTAAAGGTTATGCAGTAAGGGCCATGTTACAAGTCAACACAGGGTGCAATGAATGCTCAGAGGAACAGTGAACTTTCAAGGAGAGGATCTGTGAGAGGTCAAGGAAGGCTTCAGTTGTCTCTGAGCTGATTCCTGAAATAGCCAAGCAAAGAGAGGAGGGGTTTCTCAGCAGAAGAAATAGCACATTCAGAAGCCTGGAGGGGAGACATAGGATGGCCTCTGTGGAGGACTGGTGTGCCACTGCTGCTTCTAATGTGGAACAGGGGAAGCAAAGGACTTCCATTTCTCCCACATTAGGACCTTTGGTCAGGGGGTGGTGCTGGATGGTGAATAGAGCCAGGACTGGGATGAAGGATATCCTGGTGGGAAGGTTTGATGGACAGGAATAGAATGAAGCAGGCAGAAGCATCCTGGGAAGACCCAGGAAGATGGGGGACAGTCAAGGGAAGAGGTAGTCGGCAGGTCCAGGAAATGAGTCAGAGGACCCCAGCCTCGGAGGCCACAGTCAACAAAGCCTGGAAGGGAACGGGGAGGCCCAGATGCTGCTCTATCCCCTCCACAGTCTCTTGGACTCCAGCTCCAGCCCAGCACTGTCTCAGGTCAGAGAGGAGCTGCTGAAGCATCAGAGACTTCCAGGATACAGCGATTCCTCTGTTCTCAGGGCTCCTCAGCAAGACTTAGGTGCATGGTTCTATCTTCAGACAGCCAAGCTAGCAGAGCTTATAAAAGTCAGGTCACTCCAAATGCCATCTTACCCTTTCTATCTGGAGATAATAGCTCAACAGACCTGCCCAGGGTGGGGAAGGTGGACAGATAGAACTGTCAGGGACAGAAAGAGGCATAGCTTCTTGAGTATGCAGGGTACCCTGAGGTCCAGACACCCCATCATATGTCCACATATACCGTTCAAGCAGCATTGCCTGTGTCTGTCTCACATTTCACTGTTGGTTGATTTAGTTTCAGGGTTATGTACCTGATTTAGTTTCAGGTCGATGTACCTGATTCATAGGAGCTTCTCGTGCAGGGGAAAGGTACTGAGTCCCCCACCTAATTCATGGAGAATTTAAAGATAATTTATGTCTAGGTTTGGACATGTTAGGCACACATACAAATATTCATGCACACACACACACATGCCAGGTTCACAATCCCTGTCCTGATTCAGCTCTACTCTTTTGTGAGCAGGACATTGAGGTGAGAAACATCAGTCTTTGGGCACTAAGACAATTCACAGTGAAAAGCTGTCTCTTGCCTGAGCCTCTTCCATCCTGTTAGGAACCCGACTGATGTTACTGGAGACCCTAACAGGACTTCAGAAGACAATGTCTGCAACCCTTGCCCCAGATAGGCCAGTTGTTCTTGCCTTCAGATTCTGCACATTTAGGGTGGATCTCCCTAAACTTGGCTGCTGACACTTGTAGATCTGAGTGCACAAGGTTGAAAACAGAAGTCTGGGAGTAAAGCTGACAGCCCCTTCTCTAATTCCATCTGGTGAGGGGTTCAATGTCCTTGACCCTAAAGATGAGCTAGACCAGCTCACTTACCTTCTCTCTTCACAATTCAATTTATTGTGAATGTGAAGGGCTGTAGTGGGTAGGAAGAAGGACCTTGGAGCGGCAACAGGGAAAGAAGATGATATCAGAGGAGAGGGAGTTCTGCACTCATTCTACCATGAGCCCCATAGCCCTCTACGCATGGCTGCCCTCTGTGAAATTCTGGAGGGCACCTGCATCCCCTTCCTTCTACCTACATCCCAGGACCATCTCACACTCAGAATGGGTTTTCCCCTTGGTTTTTTCTCCCCAAACAAAATCTACATCTGGCTCTTGGCTTGACTTCCAACCAAGCTTTGGGCACAGAGGCTGACGCTAATCTGTTTATCGGGACAGTGTTAAATACACATTTTATTAAGAATAAAAGATGTCTGTTCCTTACCTTGTACTTGCCTTTTCAAATGTCAACAAAGCCTGTTGTCATCCTGGAACGAAGAGTATGTTGCTTTGTTTGTAATCCTGCTCAGAGAAGAGTAGGCTCATCTTTGGAATAGGTTGTCCTTCAGCTTTCTATTATAGCAAGTGGCCCCCCACTGAAAAATAATTAGCTAAGCCCACTGTTCCCAGCTGAATCTGTTCACCTTTAGGGCAAGGCCTGGGCTTTATTCATTTTTGTATCTCCAGTGCCTAGTACAGATAGCATAAAAATGTTTATTGAATTATGTACCAGCTCTTCCATGTTTTTAGTTGAACTGTAGTAGATAGGACAAGAGAAACAGAAATGAAGAACTCATCAAAGACAAGGGAAAGTCTGCATCATAAGGGCATGATTTCTTAAGACTGGTGAAACATCAAGGTGAAAACACACTACCTGTCGCTAGGAGACGTTGGACTTCTGTGCCAGGCAGGGACCAGGCTGGTCTGTAAATTGATGACCCCAGCCCTACAGAGGGCTGGTGCTGCTGAACCAAGGAGCAGCAAAGAGGACATGATTAAGGCAGCATTGAGCTGGGGCTAGGTGCACACCTGGCTCTGCGGCCCTTGCACAAACTCCACTCTGCTGGCCAGTGCCAGGAGGAAGGTTCAGCAACCCAGCCAGATCATGAAGGGTCTTAACTGAATTCTGGTGGGGTAGCCATAGGGAGCCATCAGCAGATTTCAAGCAGACCACTGACAAAGGAAAGCCATTCTGGCGGCAGTGTGAAAGGTGGACCGGGAAGGTGAGGGTGAGGTGACTTTATCGGAGTCTGGGAGACCAATGTAGGCAATACTATCAAGAAAACACTGTAAAACAAAATGTGGAGTAGTAAAACTAGTCGGTTTCTAGTGGAACTTGCAAAAGTATATTTTTAGAGCAACTGCCCCCTTTACTCGTTATAGTAGCACGTTTTCTAATTTGTTGATCCAACCAATAGGTTAAAGGTTATTAAAGGAAGCTTGGATGAATATTAGGTGAATTTCTTTTCTTAGTTTTGAAGCTGGTGGAGGCCAGGATACTACAGCCTTGTAAAACAGGACCAGAGACTGGTGCTTGTTAGCAGGGAATGCACCCCAAGTATGCTTCTTTTGACTTTTGCATTGGACTGGTAGTGTTGGCGAGGCTGGGGAAATTGCAGGTGGCAGTTGTGGATTAGAGCAGGGCGCTGAAAACTTTTTCTGTAATGGGCCAGATAATATTTGAGACTTTGAGAGCCATAAGGCTTCTGTTGCAACTGGTCAGTTCTGTCAATATAGAGCAAAAGTAGCCAGACAGTATGTGAGCAGTTATGTCACAGTAAAGCTTTATTTACGGATTCTGAAATTTTAATTTCTAGTAATTTTCCCCTGCCATGAAACATCATTCTTCTTTTGATTTTCTTCAATCACTTAAAAATATAAAACCTGTTCACGAGTCGTACAAAGCAACACGAAGACTGGATTTGAAGACTTTCATTAGAGTCAGGGGCCTGCCGCTCTCTAGCTGTGTGCTCTTGGACCTTTATAGGCTTCACGTTCCGTGTAAATTACTTAAGCCAGTAGCGCGGTTCATAAGAGCTAATGAGTATTAAAGTATTTTGTAAACTAGGCAGAACCGCACCGATTTTGATCGAAGTTAGTCTCCCGCTCGGCCAGTTCCGGCCCAGCACCGGTGCGCATGCGTCAAGTCCGGAGGCCCTGTTACCCCGGCGACGGTTTCGCAGTTTTGTGCAGCAACTCGCCAGGCCTTCATCGCGAGAATCGCCGGGCCAAGAAGCCTAGGGCATGGCTTCGGTGGCTGGTGCGTCTTTGGCTCTAGGCTCGTCCTTCTCTGCAGCAGACCGGTTGCCTGAGACTGAGAAGAACTCCGGGGAGCCCGAAAACACCTATATTCTAAGGCCCATTTTCCAGCAAAGGCGGGTAGCGGACGGGTTGTGGTGGGGCGATCGGCGAGACTACTGGGCCAGGATGGCAGAGTTCGCCTGGAAGCCGGGGTGTAGGGAAAGGTCCTGCGGGAACAGCGGGTTGGGGCGGGGCCGGTCTGGGGAGTCCCGGAGTGGGCTGAAGAAGGAGGGGCGGGGTCGCCGGGAGAGCGGCGCTGTTCTTCAGCTGCAGGGGGCAGCAGAGGACCCTTTTCTTGCAGTGTCAGAGCGCAGTGGGGGTGGTTGGCTCCACTCTAGGAGACCCGGGACGTGGGCACAGGGGAGAGGAGAACGGATGGAAAAGAGAGGAGCAGAAAACAAGCAGCCTTTTGAAGGTTGCTTTGTGTGTACATGTGCCAGAATAACTGTAAGGGCAGGGTACCCCCCCAACAGAAGACCCCCCCGAAATTATCTTCTGGGGAGCGAGCCCCTTCTGCTACAGGCTTCCTCCAGCTAGGTGAATGTTCTAGGAACCCATCTGTATTAGTGTACCAGCTGGCGTTGTTGTGAGAGGCTGCATTTGGCTTCAGTGAGTTATTTTTGAAGACTCATTGCATTTGCCCATATCATGATGGGTGATTTACAGCGCCCCTGCCCACATGCATGCTGAGTGTTCAGTAGTTTGTTTGTTTACCAAAACGGGCATGACCTCTGTGCCTCACCCTCCCTATTCACGGATATCACCCTGAGTAAATTGTTTTTTTAAACTTCTCCTGATGAACAAAGTTCTCAAAGGGAAATGTTTTGCTGACGTGGAAGAGATGAAACAAAAAATGGCAGAAGCACTAAAAGACATCAAAATCAATGAGTTCAAAAACTGTTTTGAGCAGTGGCGAAAAGTCCCCATGGGTGTATTGTACCAAATGGAGAGAGTGCTTTGAAGGTGACCTAAGTTTAAACATGTAGGAATAAATACACAATTTTTTAAGTAAATAAGTTCCTTTTTTTTGGTGTCTCCCCTCATATGTGGAGGTCCTTGGCCTACCACCCTTAAACCTTCCCAGAATTAAGGTACACAGTCTAGTGCAGACGACAGTGTTCCAGGCCTGTAGGATACATCACTAATTTCATTTTCACAACATTAAAAAACATTTTAAGGTAAAAGATTTCTCAAGCCCCTCCTCTGTTTTTTGAAACCAGATTGCTGGATCAATGCTTGGCAAATATCAGAAGCCAGGAACTTTGGTTATAATGTGATCAAACATTTCATGCAGCAGTTTTCTGATGGGTAGAATGGACATTAAAAAAAAAAAAAAGATATGTTCAGTTATCTTTGTAAAAGATCCTAAATGCATAGAATGTCATTTTGCCTATGTTTTTGCTATAGAACAGTGCAGGGCATGATTCACAAAAATATATATTATGTGAGAATAATCCTATGAAATGATATGACATGTTTGAAAAAAAACTCAACATTTACTGAAAATGAAAAAGGCTTAAAGGAAGAGCCAGATATAGTATGTTTATTACAAGGTAGACCACATTTTGAACGGATCAAATCCTGCAAGTTTGTCAGTGACTCTGAAGTTTATCTGTGAGAATAAGGCAGACAAGAGACCAAAGAAAATACTCTTCCAATGTAATAAGGGACCGCTAGTATTCCAAATATTAAATCACATTATCAACTCAAAAACTTAAAACATTCTGGTGACTTGGCACATGGTAGACGAATCATCTATAGAATATATGTATCCCAGAAAAGGAACTTAGTGTTTTAATATATGATAAATACAACTAAAATGTTAATGGCATTGTTAGAGTGGTGAAATCAGAGAAGATTCTATTCTGTCTTCATTTATTCAATTATCCATTTCAAAAAAATTATTGTCTACTGTATACTGGGTGCTGTTTTTAGAAGTGGGGATGTAACAGTGAAGAAACAGATAAAAATCCCTGTTCTCTTTAAGTTTATGGTCTAGCTAGGAAAAAGGACAACAAATGAGATAAATAAATGGACCACGTTGTGTATCAGAGAGTAATAAGGGAGATACAAGGTGATATGGTAGGAGGGTGGTTTGAAATTTTAGAGAGGGAGACTAGGAGAAGTGACTGTATAAAAACTTGAAAGAAGTGAGGGAGCGAGCTATGCATAAAAGGGGGAATTGAAGTTCAGGCAGAGGTTAGCAGTAAGTGCAGAAGCACTGAAGTTTGTGAGCCTGATGTGGTTAAAGAGCATAGTGAAGGCCTGTGGGGCGTGAGTGGAGAAAACTAGGGGGAAGATACCAGGAAACAAGGTCAGAGAGTTTGGTAAGGTAGATCAAATGGGACTTGCAAATCACAATTAAGATATTGTTTTTACTCTGATGTAGGAACTATGTGGAGTATTTTGTATAGAGGAATGTCATGATCTGACATAGAGTTTAACAGAACCAGTCCAGTTGCTGTGTTGAGAACAGGATTTAGGGACAAAGGCAGACACAGAGAATCTTGTTAGGGTGCCATTGTAGTCCAGGCAAGAAGTAATGGTAGCATGGAGCAAGGTGTTAGGGGTCAGGTGATGAGAATGACTGAATTTTAGATTATTTTGAAGGTAGAACTGATAAGGCTTGCTTATGAATGGGATATGGTCTGTGAGAGAGAAAGACAACAAGATTGAAACCGAAGTTTTTGGCTTGAGCCACTAGAAGAATGGAGTTACCTCTGCCTGAGATGGAGGTGACAGAAGAAGGATCCAGTTTTGGGGAAAGGAGACAATCAGAAGCTCAGTGTTGAATATATTAAATTTGAGTTGCCTGCTAGAATATGTGTTGGAATATGTGGTTTGAAGTTCAGGGGAGACTTAAGACTTGTTTTCATAACGTGTTTTTTTTATTACTTTTATGATAAACAATATGAAAAGGAGGATTAAATGTTCCTAATGACAAAGAGCTTGAGGAAGCTGAGCTGTGAAAGGTAAGTTGGAGTTTTGCAGTTAACCAATTAGATGTTTCAAACTGCTTTATTCAGGTTCAGACCCTCTGTGGTTAAAGACTGTATCCATGCTGTGCTCAAGGAAGAACTGGCAAATGCTGAATACTCTCCAGAAGAAATGCCTCAGCTCACAAAACATTTATCAGAAAATATTAAAGATAAATTAAAAGGTAATAATTAGAAATGACTTGTTCCCTTCAAACATTCAGTTTTACCCATTTGTCTCCTTCCCCATCTTTAAACAAGGGACATAAACTGTGGATTCTGTTAAAGACACATTTTTCTTTAATGTCTAGTCTTCTCAATTATTTGGTAACTTCTCATATAGATTTTTGCAGATGCTGGGAAAGAATGAAAATGTGAAATAAGACACTGTATGGAACCACACCCTTCAGGAAATCCAAGTGTGCAGAAAATTCAGGAAGTATAGAAGCTCTTTCTCCCCCCAAAATTCTTGGTGGTTTTTCCCACCAATATCAATTCCTCAGCCTGTCATTCAGTACCCTTTCAATCTGACCTCAGTCAGTCCTTCCAACTGAATTCTTAACTACTTGTCCTACTGAGCCCTCTGTTTGTGCCAAAATCTACATGTATAGAGCAAATCTTGTACTTTTCCTACCCGTTCTTTATCTGTTTCTTGGTCTCTCTTTTATTACAAACATATATACTATCAGAAAAGTCCTGTCTTTCTATCTGTCCTTTTAAAAAATTATTTTTTGGAGAGAAGAAATGTCTTTGTAATAATAATACGTTTTTGGTGTAATAAACCTGGACAATACAGTAGCTACCCCTTATCTGTGGGAATGTATTCTAAGATCCCTGTGGATGCCTGAAGCCATGGTAGCACTGAAATCTATGTATACTGTTTTTTCCTATACATACATACTTATGATAAAATTTAATTTATGAATTAGACACAGTAAGATTAACAACAATAACTAATAATAAAATAGAGCGGTTATAACAATATATTATAATGAAATTTATGGGAATGTGGTGATATCTTTCAAAATACTGTATTGTGCTGTACTCATCTTTTCATTAAAAGGAAACACTTTACAGCTTGTCTTTGGCATATCCAAATTGCCAGTATCACTACTTTTCTGCTTTCGGCCCCTATTTAAGTTAAATAAGGGTTACTTGCCCACTAGCACTGCACTACCGCTGCAGTGGATCTGGTAATGGAGACGCGACTACGTGACTAATGGGCAGGTATCGAATACAGTATGGATACCATGGACAAAGGAATGAGTCAATGCCTGGGCGGGATGGAGTGGGTCAGTGTGAGATTCCGTCACACTATTCAGATGGTTCACAATTTAAAACATGAATTATTTCTGGAATTTTCCATTTGATATTTTCTGTTGCGGTTGACCTGGGAAATTGAAACTGTAGAAAGCAAAACTGGATAAGGGGGTACTACTGTACACACAGTCTTTTAAAAGATTTTATTTATTTATTTTTAGAGAGAGGGTAAGGGAGGGAGACAGAAATGGAGAGAAACATCAATTTGCAAAAGAAACAGGTTGGTATCCTCTCCCATGTCCCTAGCTGGGGACCTGGCCCATAACCCAGACATGTGCCCTGATCAGGAATAGAACTGGCAACCTTTTGGTCTGCAATCCAGTGCTTAGTCGACAGCCACAGCAGCCAGGGATCTTGTGATCATTTTAAACCAGTAATTCAGTTTTCATCTGTGCCTGTTTTGTCCATTGTCATTTTAAATTTATTAGTTTTGCACTGCTATTTTTGTGGGTATTCTGTTTGTTTCCTAGAGTTTCAATTTCCTTTTTCATCTTTCTGTTGTTTTATTATAATTTGATTGTGTTCTTATTTTATTGAATTTAAGAGCTTATGTTGTTCTACATTGTGAATCAGTTTTGAAGAATTTCTCGTTTCTTGATTTATATTAACTCCTAAGTTGAATTTTTTCTATTAAACAGTATGTTTTTTTCTTTCTTGTTATTCTTTTGTTTTTGCTGTTGCACCTTGCATATTGCTATTCAGCTTCTTTCATTTTGCTATGATATGGTGTGGGTGATTTTTTAAAAAAATCTTTCCTCCCATTGTATTTAAGACTATTTTTCTCCCAGAACTATGACTTAAGGGCTAAATATTTAATATTTTAGCCATAATCCTAAGGAATGGGTATAGGGAAAGGAGGAAGAGAAATGCGTAGAGAAAGGAGGAAGCTCAGCTAATCTGTGTGCAGTGTTTTTAAAAGAATAACTTGGGCTGTGCCTTCTGAGATTTAAAAACAAGGTTTTATTTATTTATTTTTAGAGAGAGGGGAGGAAGGGAGAAAGAAAGGGAGAAAAACATTGATGTGAGAAAGAAACATCAATTTCTTGCCTCTTGTACATGTCCCAACCAGGGACTGAACCTACAACCCAGGCATGTATCCTGATCAGGAATTGAACCAGTGACTGTTTGCTGTGTGGGATGATGCCCAACCAACTGAGCCACACTGGCCAGGGCTGTTCTGAGATTTTGTTAAGTATCCTGACGGGGTACCTATAGTGTTGAGATTGTTTGTCTAATTGACTATATAATTCTGAAGCTTTTATTTTCACATCACATCAGAGAGAGTTGGCTGTGTTTCAACTTTGCTCATTTTACATTTTTGTTGTTATGTTTCCACTATTCATTGGTCATAAAAAGGGGAAGATAAAGATGCCCATTTAGTTTCTTCTCTTCAGATTTGTTGTTAGTGAGAATTTTCAGGATTTTGCTTGTCCAAGGTTACACACTTACAAGCTTACAGTTAGGATCTGTCCTCAGTTCTCTCTGACCCCCAAGCTTATCGTCATGCTCAGTAAGGCCCTGTAGACTGAATGCTTATGTTCTTTTCCAGGCACCATCATTAAATAATTTTACCATATATTTGCTTATAGATAACTTTCTAATTTTTTTCTTTCTAGAAATGGGATTTGACCGATATAAAATGGTGGTACAAGTAGTGATTGGAGAACAAAGAGGTGAAGGAGTATTGTGAGTAGTTGGTTTTTCCTTCTTGTTTTTATTTTTATGTGTTCCTTATTAGGTGTTCATCCTCTTGATGATTCAGTAAGATTGTGTCTTTTTAAGAGTGAGAGGAAAGGACAGTATAACATGATGTAGCTGTGAACTCAAGAGATCCTGGTACTGAACAGTGAGGATGACAGCCTGGGTGAGCTCTATAGGGCAATTCACTTTTCACAGTACCTGCAGGCTACTGAGTTTTTTAGGGTTTATGTATACGAGGTCTGTCCAGAAGGTATCCAGCCATGTACTATAAAAAACAGAGACATTTATTGAAGAAGATACAAGATACAAGAAACATTATACATAGGACAATGATGCCCCAGTCCCTTCCAAAGTAGGCATCTTGGAACTTCACATAGTTCTCCCAGGCGCCATCAGCTGCCGTGTTGTGTTTTCCTGAATCTCATTGACAGTCTGAAATCTCTTTCCTTTCAAAGGTGACTTTAGTTTTGGAGAAAGCCAGAAGTCCCAGGGCACCAAATCTAGGCTGTAGAGGGACTGAGTCACCTGGGTGATTTGATGTTTTGCCAAAAGACTCTGCATGAGATGTGATGCATGAGCAAGTGCTCTATTGTGATGAAGCTGTCAATCACCAGTTGCACATGGCTGAGGCCTTCTGAATCATCCCAATAGTTTCTGTGGAGGAATGTTTAAGCTTAATGTGAAATTTGATGCAGATTTGTTATTGTACTCGCTCAGTCATTTTGAACACGATGCACACAGTACACGTGTTCACTCAATGGCATCCACCAATGTACAATGACTAGTTGTACATGTCAATAGTCAATGACTAGTACAGTGAAGTTGTCATTGTTCACACACATGCATTACAATCTACTCTCCTTGGCTGCCAGGTTAACATTGATGTAGTGCAAACCATTCTCGCTGTATTAATAATGGCTGGATTTTTTTTTTCTGGACAGACCTTGTATATGTTCCCAAAGAAAGTATGGGATTATGTATGTATGTTTCTTTCCATATCCCTTGTTGCCCTATTGTTCGTCCTACCATTATCCAAAATTAATTCCTTTAAAATTGACTGAGACCTCCGTAATAGCAAATCTAAAAGCTCTTTCTTAGCTCTTGTATTGGCCTGGGCTTCTGTTTCTTAAAATTCACTCTGGTTTTATTGGCCATGATATCAAGAGTTATCTAATTTGTTTCTCTCCTATTTTTCTAACTGATTATTCTCTTTTCTTCACTGGTCCCTCTTTATCTCCTGTATCCCCGACTGTCAGCTTTATTCAAGGCTCAGTTCTTGTTCTTCTGCTCTTCTATATGCTTTCTCAATGAGCTCATTCATTCTTATGACCTCAAATTGTCATTCCTGTATTGGCAAGTTCAAAATATGTATTTCTCATCTTTTCCTATGCCATAGTGTTAATCTGCTGTTTCCATTTGTAAGCAGTGCCTCGCATAGTAGTATTTTGTGAGAAAGTACTAAAATATTTGTTGAATGAATTTTATTTATTTTATTTATTTATTTTTTTTAGCCAAGGAACATTTAGACATTTCTTTTTTTTTTAATTAATTAATTTATTTTTTCAAATACATTTGTCTCTGCCTACCCCCCCATCACTTTCCCTTGCCCCCTCTCTCCCTCAACTCTTCCCCTTTGGTTTTGTCCATGAGTCCTTGCTCTATGTTCCTTGACTTTCCCCTTCCCTTCCTTTTTCCCCGTCCCCCCTCCCTTCTTCCCTCTTGTCTCTGTTGGTTTCTTTTATTTTCAGTGTTGCTGGTCTTATTTTCCTTGCATCTTTGTATTGTTGGTTAAGTTCCACTTATAGGTGAGATCATACGATATTTGTCTTTCACCTCCTGGCTTATTTCGCTTAGCATAATGCTCTCTAGTTGCATCCATGCTGTCACGAAGTTTAGTAGTTCTTTTTTTCTTTCTGCTGCATAGTATTCCATTGTGTAAATGTACCATAATTTGTTGATCCAATCATCTACTGATGGGCATTTAGGTTGCTTCCAACACTTGGCTATTGTAAATTGTGCTGCTATGAACATTGGGGTGCATAGATTCTTTTGAATTGGCGTTTTGGGATTCTTAGGGTATAGTCCCAGCAGGGGAATCACTGGATCAAAAGGCAGTTCCATTTTCAGCTTTTTGAGGAAATTCCACACTGTTTTCCACAATGGCTGCACCCATCTGCATTCCCACTAACAGTGGACTAGGGTTCCCTTTTCTCCACACCCTCGCCAGCACCTGTTGTTTGTTGATCTGTTTATGATGGCCATTCTGACCGGTGTGAGGTGGTACCTCATTGTGGTTTTGATCAGCATTTCTCTGATGGCTAGTGATGCTGAGCATCCTTTCAAATGTCTCTGGGCCCTCTGTATCTCCTCCTTGGAAAAGCGTCTGCCCAGGTCCTTTGCCCATTTTTTGATTGGATCATTTGTCTTCTTGGAGTGGAGTCGAGTGAGTTCTTTATATATCTTGGAGATCAAACCTCTATCTGATGTATCATTAGTGAATATATTTTCCTATACGGTTGGCTCCCTTTTCATTTTGCTGATGTTTCTTTCGCTGTGCAGAAGCTTCTTATTTTGATGAGGTCCCACTTGTTTATTTTTTCCTTTATGTCCCTTGCTTTAGGAGACATATCAGTGAAAAATTTGCTGTATGGGATATCTGAGAGTTTCCTGCCAATGTTCTCCTCTAGGACTGTTATGGTGTTGCGACTTAAATATTTAAGTCTTTTATCCATCTTGAGTTTATTTTTGTGTATGGTGTCAGCTGATGATCCAGTTTCAATTTTTTACATGTAGCCGTCCAGCTCTCCCAACAGCACTTGTTGAAGAGGCTATTATTGCTCCATTTTATGCTTCTGCCCCCTTTGTCAAATATTAGATGCCCATATAGACCTGGGCTTATTTCTGGGCTTTCTATTCTGTTCCACTGGTCTATGGATCTGTTCTTGTGCCAGTACCAGATTGTTTTGTTGTTGAATGAATTTTAAAAATACCTTGTAGATAATATCACTGAGAATTTCCACTACAGAATATTAGGTTTGAAAAGGACTGCAAATATGGGTTGGCCAAAAAATTCATTTATTTTTTTTCATAAAATAAAAGACATTTTCATTTTCACCAATAACTTTATTGATTTAGATATTTTGAGTGTGTTGGCTATCTCCTGCATTGTATAATGTTGATTGTTCTCAATTAAAGTCTTAATTTGATCACTGTTAACTTCAACTGGTCTACCCAACTGTGGAGTATTGTCCAGCGAGAAATCTCCAACGCAAAACTTTGCAAATCACTTTTGACACGTTCGGTCAGTCATAGCACCTTCTCTACAAATCTTTATTTTTTGTGTGTTTCAGTTTCATTTTTACCTTTCTTGAAATAATAAAGGATAATATGCTGAAAATGTTGTATATTTTCTTCCATTTTTAATATTAAAATGGCTATACTAAAACTCACCAATTTTGATAAGTTTTTTTTTATAAAATGCACGCTGATATTACAGCTGTCCCAATACAATCTAACAACGTTGTTTAGAATGAAGTTAAAGACAACTAAGCGCTACTAGAGCCATCTTATGGAAAAAATCAAATGAACTTTTTGGCCAACCCAATATTTTCTAGTGTCTAGTTCCCCTATTTCATGATGACCCTTATGAGATTCAACATGATTTGCTCAAAATTATAGATATGGCTGGTGTCAGGGTCACTAATAGAATCCACCCTTCTAACTCCTAGCACATACTCTTCACCATCGTGTCCTCTATCATTTGTTCAAAAGGCTTCAGAAGATTTTCTCACTACAAGAAATAAGTTTACTATTCTGTCATCTCAGATTGAAAATATTAAGAATTCCAAATGTCTTTTCCCTTCCTCTCTTTAAATCAGCTTGTCATTTTAATTTCTTTGTCTCTCACAGTATTACCAAGGTTCTACTGGCTCAGGCTTAAAACCTGGATTCTTCTTTTATCTTATTTAGGCCATTACTCTCTCCCATTGCATACACTGTAATCTGGATTCCAGGATTATGGAGCAGCCCCTTATCAGCACTTCTTGACTCTGGTCTCTCTCTTCTCTGAAATTCATTTTGCAAACCAGACGAGTCTCCCAGGAGTACACCTTACTTTCTTTCCACAAACTCTATATGGAGTTTATTTCAAACCCTGTCAATAAAAACTTCTTTAAATTGACTTGGTTAAATGGGATCTGGCCAAACTCTAAAGTATGGGATACAAGGCCTTTCCCATCCCCTGTTAACATTTCTATTGTCTAAAATTTCAAACATAGTTAAAGTGTAGGGACTAAGGAATTCCTGTGGATCTGTTACTTAGCTTCAAATGTTATCAGTACATACCTATGTTGTTTCATTTATACATCCACCTACTCTCCCTACCTCTACCAGGTTATTTTGAAGCAGATTCCAGTGATACCATTACATCTGTAAATACAACAGGATATATCTCTAAAACATAAAGACTCTCTTAACATAATAAAATATCATCACATCTAAATATTTTTAGTCCTTAATAATATAAAATATCAGTTAGCATTCAAATATTCCCAATTATCTTATATATGTGTGTGTGTTTGTAAGTGTATTATGTGTGTATTTTACTGTTTGTTCAAATCAGGATCCCAAGTCCCCACATTATAGTATATCATTTATACTTCTAGTATATCATTTTCTTTTAGTATATCATTTATTTTCCTCTTTTTGCTCTGTCTCTCTTTCTTTTTACCTTGCAATTTCTTTGTTGAAGAAATTGGGTTGTTTGTCTTGTAGAGAGTCCTGTATTCTGACATTTGCTGATTGTATTTCTGTGGTATTGTTTACTATGTCTTCTATCTAAGTAGTTAGATATAGTCTTAGTCAGAGGTTTGAATTTTGGGCAAGAATATTACATAGACGTTTAGTATACATCCTATTGCATCTCATCAGGAGACAGAGAATGTCTGGTTGTTCCTTTATTTAATTGTTAAGATTGATCACGGAGT